TGCTGATCATACTGTGAAAAGCCACTCCAGAAGGACTTGTTGACTTTCACAGATTTGCACAAAAATCCCATTTAACATAGTTACAAGGCACCAACTCTACATCTTGGCCCATTAGCCTGACCTGGTACTTGGTTTACATGTCATTGACAAGTGATTTAAACTCAATCACCTATATAACAGGACAATTCAAAACAATATATGACTCCTGCCACTACTCCCAGCTCTGGGAACAATACTTGGTAGAAGAATCAATGAGATATAAATGATTTACCATCGCTTCCCATCTCTGCCTTTGACCCCATCAGCTATATTGTTGGAATAAATATGAGTGAATTTATAAGCCACATTACTTGAATAGAAGGAAACCCAAATTCTAAAATCAACTAGGATCTTCAGGACTTAGTCATCTTGTCCACATTGTTAACCTCAGCATCCTCAGTTCACAAAATGGAGGCAAATATCTCTAAAATATCTATTTTAGGTAAATTGAAAAGTAAAATGAGATACAAGCCTAAGAAATACTCCAAGGTTTTTAGAAGGATTATCTTTGTTAACCCAGAACTTTTCCGGTTTTACCACTAAAGTTCTTGTGTGTTGGGAATCTCTAGTCTTCAAAAAAAAAAAGGAAGATTGGTCATGTTAGTTTCAAGCTCCTTCCTTTATTTATTTTTCTTTTCTTTTTTTCCAGGACAGCATATAATCCTGACTGCATTAAAAATCTTTAGAGTAAATACAGTTACACAATTATTAAAGTCAAATTGGTGTAGTATCACATTATAAATTTTACAAAACAGGGAAGACTTTAGCTCCTTCGTATGTTGGCCTTATCCATTTGAAGTTTAGTATCTCAAAGGAAATTCGATTTGCTTCCAAAACCTAGCTGTTAGCATTAAAAGCAATTCTATATACTAAACTCTCTGGAATTTACTGATATATTGCACTGATATAATTTGCAGCTGAACTTTTGGAAACAGCTACTAACTCAAGGAATACATGACTGAAGAAACTCCTTGATGCCTTTCTTATCTTAATAAACTTTTTTAAGACTCGCCTATGTTAAGGATCCCTAGAATTAGCATTTGTTTTCTGTTAATGAGCCTAGAAATAATAATGCAAAAGGATTAGGTTAATAATGTCCTTTAATATTTAAAGTATATGTCATATATAATTTCTAGATGGTATTAAAAGTTTTATCTACATAATACTTTGCATATCATAAACCTATGTGTATTATAGACATACCTCAAGACATGAATATAAATTTGCCTCAGTATGCAAACTGCCAATATATTATCTATATCTTTAAATCTATCATAATGACCATAATTTACATTTCAAACAATAATAATAATTAAGTTACAAGGCATCTATTATATATTGTCACTACCTTTAGCCTTCACACATTACAAAGTAGCTATTACACAATTTCACATGTAAAGCTCAGATAAACTAAATTACATGCTTCTCATTACACAGAAAAATTTGTTTCTCTCAGTGGATTGAGCAGATAGTATTCCTTCTGAATCGACTGAGAAATTAAGGCTCAGAGAACTGAGTTTTGATGATTATCTTCTAACTCAAGCTTTGCTTTTCCTATTTCTGGTGAGGATTCATCTATGTTGATGATAACAAAAACCTTTCCCTAGCCTGTTCTGAGTGGTTGCTTTCATTTCTTAAATGATATTCTAAATCTGTTCCTGTCTATTGGCAACTTTTGTTGAAGTTATACGGCCTTGGTACAATTCTTATGTCCCCAAATTTTGTGAAAATATAAACAAAAACAGAAAGAAAGGTAAACCTATCAAAACTGTCTTTGTTTTAGAAAACTTTACATATTCCAAGATTGTGAGACATAGCCAGCCTCTTCTACCGTCTCTAAAGCAGTGAAAATGTATTTTCTTCTGCCTGTCTGGATTGTTCTTGGTCAACTTTTCACTTCTTTTGCTTCTGCTTACTCAGACACCCCTGGCCTCCCTGATACTCTGCCTAAATAAAGGTCTTCACAGCCTCGCGAGGGATCCCAGCGTTAAAATTATTCCTCTCCCTCCCTTTCACCTCATCACCCTTGAAAGTTTTCTCTTTGAAAGAATCTCTCTTATCTCAGCAGACAAAAGCAACCAGAGCCTTGGGAGGACCCAGTCTAATATTTTTTTTTTCTCTGCGATATTTTCATTGGAGATGACAATGTTTATTATCTCTAAAAATGAATTTTCTGCCTTATCCTACGCTGTGGGAAGGTAAATAGGACTGACCTATAGGGCATAACATCCTAACAAACACCCAAAGAGGTGGTTTTCTCTTTTTCCTCAAAACAAGTTGGTCTTCTTTCAGAAATTTTTGGAGCAGAAAAGCAGTTAAGTGTGAGAGTTTTAAAGTGATCATTTTTCACTTTATATTACTACTTTGTAACTCTGTCTATGGTTATAAAATTCAACATTAAAAATTATCTCTCTCCAAACATGGACTAGGTATGGTAGTAGTCTAGGATGAGAGACATTAATTTACCAAGTGGGATGATATTGTCAAAACTTACCATAATGAAAAGATAGAACTGAACCACAATAATAAAACAAGAATATGTGTTATGTACCATGCAAAGATACTTATGGCGTGTGTATTTATTTGGAAAGGCTTTTTTTCAGTGTTACATTTATTTCCAGAATGATGATTTCAGTCGTTTTATTCATTCATTTAAAGACTATTTATGGAGTACTTCTGTTGGTCATCTAGGGAGCTACGAGTGACTGAGGATTTAGTGGTCAATAAAGTCATGGCAAGTCAGACTGTAAGCAAAGGGATGGCCCTTGGTTGGAGCCAATATCTATAAATTTCATTTTTGAAATTTTATTTTGTAGTGAGAAATTTGCCTTGGTTTCTTCTTTTCTAAGAATGGAGCACGTGCTGCTTTATATTATCCTAGAAATAATTCTTTCGTCTCTCCCTCTCCCACCCTTGTTCTCTCTGACTTTCGGGTTTTAGAGAATTTTTTTCTATCCCCCTCTCAACCCCTTTCCTTTTCCCAGGTTTCCTTAGTAGCCGCATTTCTAGTGACCCATGTGGCTTAAGACTCACGGAGGCATTTATTTGATTTATTAACGACTTTCACATTCACCCATAAAATAACTAAATAACTCCAGTGTGTAAATGGAGCTGCAGACCTGTGATTAAAGACAAAGAAATCAGTATAAAAATCTTGGGAGACAGCATAAAGGTATTTTCCAACTCCCTGGAAAAGCAAATGATGCATTGAGATTGCTTCTCAGTGATAAAAGGATTCAAAACCACAGGTGGTTTGAAAAAGGAGGATTTTTATAACTGTGTACATTTCTTTCTTTCTTTTTCTTTTTTCTTTTATTGTCTCTCTCTCTCTCTCTCTCTTTTTTTTTGCTCCGTAGGAGAGAGAGAGAGAGCGAGAGAGAGCTGTGCACAGTACTTTATAGCTCTCAGGGCCACACATTAAAAGTGTGCTGTGGGCATAGTTTTAATTTGTCCTTTTCCTGGTACTCATTCACTTTTCCCCATCTTTTCCTGTCATGTTACCATTGCTGCACGTTAGTTGCATTCTGCCCATTTGATTAGGATTTCCTTTCCAGCTGGAAGATCATCTTCAGCTACAAAGCTTCATCAGTGGTAAAGCTGCATACGCATTTACCTGCCAGGGGGCCACTTTTACTTTTGGCCGCGCCCTTTGCTCAATGGCAGTGGGAAATGTGCCTGGTGCTATAATGATCAAATAAACATTTCCCTGGAGGAGGTTTAATTGTAATGACTGAGTTGACCCTTTGGGACCTGAAAAGCAAAGGCATTTGGTATGGCTCAGAATTCCTCACGGTGTGCACACTGGAGTGGAGCAAAGTCACAAGGACCGGAGCCCTGGGCTTGTCCAGGTGGATTACTGCTGGGTGGTGTCCAGCAGGTCACTTCCTCATTTTGGATCTCAGCTTCTGCAACCATAATAAAGAGAGCAATAGTAACTACTTTGACCTTTGGCTAATCTGCATGTAATTAGCATTTCAAAGGGTAAAGCGATAGGCTGATGAAAGGAATAATTAATTTCGGTTACTTTTCACTGCACATTAGCCTAATTAAAATGTGTAAGCCTCCATAAGGAGTGGGAATAACACGGGGAAAATGTAGATAATCGTAGAGGTACCCATCCAGCATATGTGTGAGCTTTATGGGCACTGCACTCTTCTTTTGGTTCTGTGTCACTATATTTCACAAATCAAAACCTTGTTGGACTGCTTTGTAGCAGATGTCATGTGAAATCTTAATTTTGTTGCTTACAGTAAGAGAGAAAAAAGGAAGTAGGATACGTATAAGATAGATGTATAGCCATTGCAATAAACCTATAGAATTGCATTTTAAATGCTCTAAGTCTATTTTTTTTAATTCCCTGATTATACTATATGTAACCATTGGCAAAGTTTTATTAATATCGTAACATCTGGTCAGGAATTGTACAGTCAATAGAACTTTAATGTATTCAATTTCATTGCTTTTTGGGAGGAGACTCTAGCAGGAATTAGAATTTACAGAAGAGTTCCTTGACTTTGGTTAGTCCATCCTTAGGCTTCAGGGGGTCTTGGAACCAACCAGAGTTGTATAAAGTAGAGTAACAGGCTACATACATATTTTTTTCTGGTGAGGAGTTAGTAGTTCTCATAAGATTCTTAAGGGATTCTCATCCCGTAAAAGGTTAAGAAACAATTATATGACGTTAGTATCCCATTTTAGAAAGATACATAAAAAATATGTACTTTATCTGTTCAATTGTTAAAATCACCAGTGTGTCATCTCAAAGATGTGGAAAATTAAAAATTTAAAAAGCCAAGCAAAATTACAAATAAAATTTACTTTTTGGTTTTTAGAACAAACTTGTTTAGAATATATGGCATTTAGATATTGCTTCTCCAATTTACCCATCATCCTCAGGTCATGCCCTCTCTTCTCTTTACTTTTCTATTCTGGGTGCTGTGTTAAACTTCTTGTTTTTCCAGGATGACCAAAAACATCGGTGACGATGGAGGTGGGGATGACAACACTTTCAACTTCAGCTGGAAGGTGTTCTGCAGCTGGGACTACCTGATTGGCAACCCCGAAACAGCTGACAATAAATTTAATTCCATCACAATGAACTTTAAGGTAGGCAGGAACTTCAACATCCTGTTCTTAGATTTCTAACAGTAACATTGGTGGCATCCCACAAGGTCTGGTCAGTGAAGTTTTTCACAACCAGAAAAAAGATGAACTCACCGTTCTGCCTGCAGGGATCTGGCCACCGTTCTTGTTTATAACTGGGAAATATCCTGTGACCCACAACTGCATGACTATCCCTTGAAGATGTTTTGTTTCCCTAAATTTGATGAAAGGCTAATAGTATTTGATTGAAACAGGCCAATACCAGTAATCAGAATCAGATAGCTTAAATAATAGAAAAATGCTTATTAATTATTTATAGAAATAAGTTCAATAATTTTAAATTTAAAATTACAGCATTATTTTGTAGCTTTAAATGTTGTACAGAGCCAGCATCATTTAGAATGATGATTATCTTTAGTATTTCAGAGTTTATTTGCAAGAATTTAGCCTTTCTCTCGTGTCATAGTGGACAGTATTTGCCTGGTTTATGGAATTTCAGATATATTTCACATTTTTGTTTGTTATACTCCCCAGTTCCTGATAGATTTTATGGCTAAGATCTTCATTGTGTTTTGTTTTGCTTGGGTACAGGAAGCTATTATTGAAGAAAGAGCAGCCCAAGTAGAAGAAAACGTCCACTTGATCAGATTCCTGAGATTTCTCGCCAATTTCTTCGTGTTTCTAACCCTTGGTGCAAGTGGATACCTCATCTTTTGGGCTGTGAAGAGATCCCAGGAGTTTGCACAGCAAGATCCCGACACCCTTGGGTGGTGGGAAAAGAATGAAGTTCGTCTCTGCGTGCTTTTTATGTTCTTAGAGCCTGCTGTCTGGTGTTCTGTGGGCTATGCGTCTGTGGTGGAACCTCTGATAAGGCCAATCTTTACCTGTCCCCTGCCTTGCCTTCATGACTAACCAGCTTTGTTGTACATATTGCCGTCCTTATTCCCAAATCTGTTCTGAAGTCTTTCATTTTTGGTTGTGGTGGAATGTTAGATTTAGAGCTGATACTAAAAAGCGTATAATTTAGCTATTACTTTTCTATTTCTAATGCAAGAGATGATGAATCTGGAGGGATTGGTGTTTACGGTCAAAGAGTTAGGAGAGGAGTCAGGGTGAGAGAATCCAGGGGCATTGATTTGAAGTCTAAGAGTCTTTGAGTTCATTTTTAGATCCTGGATATGTCCCTGAAAGACCCAGTTTCTGAATTCTTTGAAACAGCTATGGTAAAGCCCTTGGTTCTCCTACCTAGCTCACTAGAAGTGCACAGACTTGTCCTTAGCTTTTGGTTTTCTTCTTTTCCTGATGGGAAGCCTAATTGGGCATCTTGAATCTCTTTTGGTACCGAGGATCAAACTCGCAACCTTGTGCTTGCCACGCAGGCGCTTACGCTGCTGAGCTAAATCCCCAGCCCATCTTTAATCCCTTCTCCCAGGATCCATCTGGCTTTACTATTCAGAGGTAGAAGGCCCACTGCTGGCCATGTTTGTCATCACAGTATAGAGAAAGGTTACAGGTAGATATTTAGCATTAGGAAATAATTGGTCATGAATTGCTGTGAGTTTCCAATATAAAATGTGGCATTATTTTGAACTTGGTCATTTTTAAAGAACTGAGAGATTTAGGTTGCAAAAAATGCAGACTTTACATGCAAAACTTCTATAAAGCCCTGTCGACCAAAAAAAGAGATAAATCTTCATCTTCATAAGGCAGGCATTTTTATCCAACAAATAATATAATCTACTTACACAAAAGCTTGCAAATAAAAACATTTCAGTTATTTCAGAGTTGGGAACAGTGGAGCTGGAAGAACCATACATTTCAAAGACCGGACTGTAATTTCATAGATATTTCAAAGAAATTTGTAAAATACAAGTCATTAGGTAGAGGGTTTTTTTTTCATTAAGACAAAGGAATACATTAAAGCATTTACTGACTTTGCTTTCAAAGCTATCTTTTACAGTTGTAATAGGAAATATAGGCAAAATGATCATACAGCTTTGGTTCTTGGTTCATATTAAGGATATTTTTGTGTAAATATTAAAGATGAATTACTGTCAGTAAGAGGAGCAGTCTTTGTTAGTATCTGTTTAATGTCTGTTTTAGGGAATTCCTGAGTCATAGATGTCAATGAAAGTAGCACAGGATCTGCTAGTTTTCTGCTAGGTTGAAATTACCTCATGCTGAGTTGATATTATTTCATACTGAGTTTTGTTTCTTATTGATCACACTGATACAGTGTTCTTAATGAAAATATAGAATCATATTATCAATTTTTTCTAAATATAGTCTGATAGTTACAGTCATTCAAAATGTGGTATCAGCAAGGGAAAACAAGAAATGCTTACTGGTGATGAGTTGGGTGGGGTATTTGGGAAAGTCACAAGAGTTACTGGACATCTTTTTTTCTCATTATAAATTTCTCACATTATGTGTTTCTCACGTCTTTGACTTAATTTAACCTAGTAATGCAACCATAATGGTTCAAACAGGTGATAGAACAACACATATCTCCTGTTTATATTTCTACTTCTCTCTTGCTGTCTCTCTGTCTCTCTCTGCCTTTCTGTCTGTCTCTCTGTTTCTATGTCCCTCTGATTTTCTCTCTCTGCCTTTTCTCTATCCCTCCTTTCCCCTTCTATATCATTTATTCTCTTGCTTATGGCATTATAGACAGTTTTTTCATATATAGCCTTCCATAACATTACACACTGTATTCTCTATTTGTTTTTTCTGAATGCCTTGTTTTCTTCTGATAAAATTCATTGCCCTTTAAAAAAATCTCTGCACATTTGCATTCTCTAAGATTCAGAATTTAGTCTGAAGTTAATATCAGAGAACTCATTAATTCTGAGTCAACTAATCAATTTCAATGATATTAAAATTTGTATTTCCATTTCAACCTTATTTTCAAGGAAATAATTTCCATTTTCTCTGAAACACCTGTAGTGAGATGCATTGCTACATTGGAATCAGTACCAGGTAGAACAGTATGTGTTCTCTGGAAAGAAATCATTACTTATACCTATACAACTCATGCACATGTACATTTTGTGAACTGAGTGTGTTGAATGTTGTCTTTGTTGTTTTGAGACTAAATTCTAAAAACATGCATGAAATAATCTTCTTTAGTCTTATGTATAATCAAAGGAGTCTTGCTAAATATCTTCCAGAATTCTGGAGGAAAGCAATAATAAACTTTAGACATCACTTAACTGGTGGATCTGTTGTGTTTCCTTATAGATGAACATGGTTATGTCACTGCTGGGGATGTTCTGTCCAACACTGTTTGATTTATTTGCCGAATTGGAAGACTACCACCCTCTCATTGCTCTCAAATGGCTACTAGGACGCATTTTTGCTCTTCTTTTAGGCAACTTGTATGTATTTATTCTTGCCTTGATGGACGAGATTAACAACAAGGTAAGTCTGATGTTTGGATTTTCCTTATCATCAGTACACTGTTAAATTCTGTCTCAAGATACCAGAAATAGCTCTGAAAACACTATGGGCTTGTTTTTATTTCTCTATCTTTGCTCTCTAGATTGAAGAGGAGAAGCATGTGAAGGCCAACATTACCCTGTGGGAAGCTAACATGATCAAAGCCTACAATGCGTCCCTCTCCGGGAATACCACTGGGCCACCTTTTTTTGTTCATCCTGCAGATGTTCCTCGAGGACCTTGCTGGGAAACGATGGTGGGACAGGTAATGATGTGAACTGAAGTACATGCAATTAGTCAATTTAAAAAACAGCAGAGTCAATATGTCCTCCAAACATGTTTCCTATTTTTTTGTTTATTAATAGAAATAGCTAAAATTGGTTGAATATTTAGTGTTTGCTGGTTTTGAATGTCATATGCATCATCTCATGGAATCTTGCACACATGCCTTGAGATACATACTTCTTGTAGGCTGCTTTTACACTTGGATAGAAACACACTGATCTGAGATCTGCTTAGGTTCTAACAAAGCACCCTGATTTAAGACAGAGGCTCAAACTAGTATTTACTGATTTATTAATGTATTTTTTATTTTAAAGAGGATAAAATAGAATAAAACCAATCAAAATAAACTAGTATAAGTGATACAGGATTTCAAAACCTTACAAAATCAGCAATAGTTACCATAATGTCTTTGCTTGTCTCCCAAAATACCCTCAGATACCTTCAGACATAGAAAAATCAAACTGGACAGAATAGAGTAGAAACAATAAAAACAAAACAATGAATACAATAAAGGACTTCAAAATAAGCTAATAGTAAATCCAAAATGGCTACCATAATATGTCTTGCTATCTTTGAAATAGCTGCTCATGCCATCAGATTTAACATAATCAAACAAAACAAAAGAGAATAAAATCCAACCCAAGAAAACCATGAAAATGATATGGTTTTCAGGTAGGGATCACCTCCAGGTGAGGCCTGATTCTCTCCCCCACAGTCTGTGAATGGCCACTGCTGGGGTCTGGCTGTCCCCACTCCAGCAGTGGCTGCACTTGGCGCTGGTTTCCAGGTGGGGATCACATCCTGGTGAGGCCTGGTTCTCTCCGTCCCCAGTCCACGAATGGCGCTGACTCAGAGCTCAAACTAGTATTTAAATGGAGTTCTATGTAGTGTTATCTGTTTACCCTAAAAACAGAACAACACAAAAATAAGAACCTTGGGTGTCATACAAAAACTAGTTTTAGTAATGTCAATTTTTGTCAAATAAATTTTCTTTAAGCCTTAGAAGAAATGTTATTTTAAGTTACTTTTTTTCATAACGATTATGCAAATTCCATAGTCTAAGACAAGAGATATTTTACCAGAGGAAAGAAATAATGTTGCAAATGCCTTTTGTCCAATAAAGGGAAACCAAACCAAATACAATTCAACAAAACAACATAAGTGTCCACTTCAGGATCTCTTATTTTCCATATCAATCCAATTTATGTTTTGAAAAACCTACAGTCATATATCATTAGAATTGACATCCTTAATATCCATTTTATAAACTCATTTTGGACCTCAGTTCACCACTGAGAGAGAAGTTTTAAAATATAGAGTTTGTTTCTGTTAGACAACAGTTCAGCAGTAATCTCTTTGAAAAATAATTTGAAAATTTTTACTGTGTTCTTTTAAGATAAAACCAAAATTGAAAAATCAGTATTAGTCTTTGTCATGGTTTGTGTCTGGCTGTCTCCCTAAGCCCTCATGCAGTCATGAAGGCGGCTGAATCTAGTGTTTGTGATTGGTTTGTTGTCTAGCCCTGGGACTGGCGGTGTGAGTGCTGCACCCGCCCAGGGGTGGGGAGCCAGGATACAATGTCAGGGAGGGAAGGAGGCCTGCTTTCCCCTTTTTACCCTGTCCTCTCTTGTTACTTGCAGCTACCATGAATGGTAGGCTTATCCCTAAGCCACACCACTCTGCCTTGGAGCCAGCTGAGTATGAACTGAGACCTCCAAAAACTATAAGCTAAATAAACCTTCCCTTTCCTAATTTTGGGCTTCAGGTATTTTGTCTCAGCAAACAGAAAAAAGTAACCAAGGCACTCTTATTAAATTCATATAACTTAAGCAAATATGGATTTAGATAGATATCTTCAGTCTCAATCAGATGCTCACTGTATTTAAACGAATTATGATTTCAGTTATAAGAAAAAACAAAGTCAATGTGTATAATACTAGTACACAGCTGAAGACAGACTATAAAATATGGCAGAGTTAAAGACTGAACTTTGTTTTACTTTTTTAAGCTTTCAGGGTCCAAATAAGTCCCTCCTTCTTACTTATGTGTTATTATTAAGTGTTCTATTTTCATATATGAATATTTGAAATATATATATAGGAGCAGATTATGTTTTAAATAATAAGTGAAATAAAAATTGTCTTCATTTGGAAGAGAGATACTTGTGGTCTAGGTTGTGGTAGACAGAATGATAGCCCCCCAAACTATCCATGTCTTAATCCTGGGAACTGGAATATCCTATCCTACATGGCAAAATTGGCTCTGCTGTGTCCACTGTGTTACTGTGAGTGTGCAGAGGATGAAAATTACCCAGTTATAAGTTTTAATTCAATCACTGAGAACTCTGAGGGACTACTTCTTGGGCATGGGAAAACCTCAGGGAAATAGCAACCAATCGTGACCTGTGTGGTCATTTATTTGTAACTCAAGGGCCTGAGAACAAAAACAGAAGAAAACCATTTTGCAACATATTGTCTAGGATTTTGGTGATGGGTAGGGGCCAGAATGGGACAGGTTTTTACGTGTTGTATGTGGACCTGGTTTAGGCAGGCTCACCAGAGCAGAGGGGACACAAGGGCAAAGAAATCATCTCTGACAGCACTTGGCTTAATTCTGCTGATGGTTGACTTACAGATTCTGCTGTAAACTGTAACTCTGTCTTCTATGAGCATGGGAAGTGTTGTTCCTCAAGGCCCCTTCACAAGGTTCAATCACCCCTGGCTTAGTGTCTCCTCATACTGCAGATGTGATTAAGGATCTTGGATTAGGAGAATTATCCCAAATTATGTGAGTGGACCTAATGAAATCACAGAGGTCTTTATAAGTGGGAGGTAATGGAGTCAAAGCCAGAGTATTGAGTTAGGCAATGGAAGCAGAGGTTAAGAGAGAGGAACTTTGAAGACGGAGGGGGGGGTGGTGAGCTAAGTAAGGAATGCAGGAGTCTCTTGGAGTTAGGAAAAGCAAAGGGTCAGATTGTCCCTCAGGTCTATATTTTGACTTTAAACTTCTGATTTCCAGAGTTTATGTAAGAAAAGGCACTTTAATTGTTTTAAGTTGCAGTAAATTTTGGTAATTCGTTATAGACGCAATTAGAAATGACTGTTCCTGGATTTACAAATTTCCATGTTTGAAGGCCATTTGTAGTGGAATATGTCTTGATGTTTAACATGAATCTGTTTTATCTGTCTAAACTGCCACTTACATTTTCAACACAAGTCCCAAGAGGTGAGAACATCAGAATATACAGTTTTCAAAAACTCCAGAGATATTTCCTTCTTATGCATCTTGGACAGTAGACTGACAGGAAGACTCAGAAACATAACTGTTAGTAAACAAACACCCACGGAACGGGGTTAATAGAATCAATAGTGGAGGACAGAATCTGTGCTGATCATCTCTGGGATGAGGAGGACAAATTAATTATGAGTTATCACTCTAGAGGACTACTTATGTTAAACTCTGATTTCCATAATACTGACTGAAAATAAAGGAAACGGTAGTTAATTCTCCTTGGCAGCCTTGGACCACACTTTCTTTCTTTCTTTCTTTCTTTCTTTCTTTCTTTCTTTCTTTCTTTCTTTCTTTCTTTCTTTCTTTCTTGGCACCAGGAAATTGAACTCTTGTGATTCTTTTTAATGATGTTGTGATGATTGTCCTTGCTTCATCTTCTTCCTTTCCTGTCATTCATAGTGAGATTTCCTCCTTTTCTTCTGCGTTCTTTTTTTCTCCTAAGGAGCATTAGGCACTTGTGTTGAAAGTCTGCAGAGCCAGCAGGTAGGAGTAGAGCAGCTCTGAACAGAGTGCCGATGAGGCAGGAGGAGCCCGTGGGAAGGAGTGGGGCCGTGCTGGACATGACGGCTTTAGTGGTAGCAAGGTTTGTCATTTAATCAATATCTATATACTTGCACCTGAGAACATTTATATCTTTGAGTCACTTACGAAAGTGAAAAAGTAGTAAAGACAGATAAATTTATGTAGTGTTGAGGATGTGCTCTGAAGGCTTCCTCACTGTTCTGTGAGAACATTCCAGAAGTTTCCTCTTCTCTGTGGACACCCTTTGCTTTGTTTCCCTCCAAGGATCCTGTGGTAATCTAAACTATCTTAGTTCAAGATGAAGGTAATTTGTTCTTTTAACTTTACAGTGATCTCCAAGTAATCATTTAGTCTTATCTCTGATGGTACTTGACATATAGTGCAGTCTTTTGGGGTGACATTTATTTGAAGTTACAGTGGCATCTTGGTTCGAGAACTTAATTTGTTTTGTGTTGGTGTGGGGAAGATGGCCACAGTTGTGTTTGTCATTGGATGTGAAGTTTGTCAACAGAAGTGAAATTTTGTTCAGTGCTTTTATTTGGGAACAGAATTTTCTGTAGTCAAAAGAGTTCATGAATGAAGGTATTACTCTATGTTTACTGAGGTCCTCATTTTGAAGAAGGAGAGCAAGAAACCAAGAGCTGAAGTTAACAGGGGCTAACATTTGTTGGGTATTTTTAATGTGCCAAACCTCACCTCAATAAGTTTTTAAATTAACCCATGCGATATGTCTTATCATTCTAATTTTATGGATGAGGAGACTGAGACTTAAAAATGCAGTCTACTCAAGACCTCACAAAATGTCAGTGATGGGAAACACACATAATCTGCACAGTTGAGTTAAGCTTGTGTTTTAGTTCATAGTGCTGAGTCAACCCTTGGAAACATAATTATTCTCAGTACATGACTACGAACTGGCTTGAAATATCTATGGTCTGTGGCCCTTTATGTTACCTTGTTCACTGTTTTGCTTTTGTCTATTGGTGATTGCTTTAGATTTATTGTTCAGAGTTGTCCAAATATGTCAACCAAATGTCCTGAGATGGAGTGTGTCAGGGGCAGAGTGTGGTGCCTGAGAGGAAGCCTGTGGAAACCAAGTGCCCCCTCTTGGTTTTATTGGTAAGGTTTTATTACTGTTTAGTTGTTAGGAAACAGAAGTGGATGTCATCTCTGATGTGGAGATGATAAAGGAAGGGGCAATACAAAAGAATACAGAGAGCTAAACATGGGGATTCTCTAGAGAGGTGAAGACCCTGGCAGTGACAGCTTTTAGCATACTCTCTGGCAAAGGCTGTGTCTCTTTTTCTGTATCATTCTTCTTTGAGATCACCTCTCCAAATAGGTTACTGCTTACACATATGCTAGTTTGGGTGGAAATTAATGCTAAAGCAGGCTTTACATTTTATGCCAGTTTTCAAAGAAATTTTTGTTTTTATATATTTATATATAATTAAATTCTCTTTATAGAAGTAATATATACCTTGAATTTATAATAGTAGCACTATTCTTTTAAAAATAGAGAAAAGTTAAAAGAAGTACTGGACACAGTATTTCATGTGGATCTTTGATGTGGCAATGATTGTGAAGGTAGCACATGACATCCTGGAGTTGAGCATGTGGTGGATTAATGGTCAGCTCGTAACACGCAGCTGTACTGAATCAGCGTGGTTCTCGGCATGGAAGGCCCATCTGGGAATTGTTGCCAACAGCACAAAAGCAGAACCAGAGGGAAAGATGGTTTGCTGATGATTCTCCTGGAGAAGCTTGTCATGCTAGATTTCCTGGTATGAACTCTTGTTCTCATCATTGGAGGAGCTCAAGTCCTCACTGCCATTGAGAATGGCTGCAGATCTTTTCAGGTGCTTACTTTGAGCTTCACTTCCTGGCTCCAGTGCAATCCCTCATCCTGTTGGTGCATATTTTCTAGCTTTTACCATTGACCATGGGCCTTCCCAGTGCTGATCCTTGGTACAGACTTGCATGAAACATTGTCTAGGTCCTCATCTGGACTCGTGCTGGGCATTGCTGTGGGATCCAGACCCTCAGCTGGATTCGTTGGGTCTCAGTGTGTGAACAGATCTCCTGCACTTTTTTGCATTTGACTTTTTGGGTGAATATTATAAAATAATCCTATAAGTTACATGTCCTGTATTAAAATATATTCCCTTGTAAACACTATTATAGAAAGCACAGCTCTTAGGGATGAGGCTGGAAATTAACCTAATGACTACTAATGAAATGCTCCTTTGTCCTGTGAGATAACTCACTAGTTATTTTAGAAGGGAGTTTGCTGGAAGTAAAAATCAAAAGACTTTTTATATTATACAACATGAGTACTTCTGCAAAAATATGACTTAATAGATAATTGGACAGAGTCATCCCAAACTATTGGAAACACAAAGGGAACAGTAAAAGTTTACTATGTGATGAAAATTTATAATTGCATGTCCATTCTTACATTTAGTGTTTATTGTCATATTGTTTATATGAAGAAACAATGACTTTCTGTCATAATGTACTGGGATTGCATGTCAGTGTCAAACCCACACCACTGAAGTGGTTAGTCTTGTATTTTGTAGATCTCGTTTAGCACACACAAATTATGCATGTTCACACATATATTCTTAGGGTCTTATTAATGAATCAGCTGATGCAGTTATACCTCAGTTCAGAAATGCTTCTGTTCACAAGCAATTCATTTTGCAAACAAAAGCCTTTGACAAACGTTGGCTTCTGTTCAAACCTCCACATTGGGTAACCAACACCCACATTGTAAAATAAATTATGCTCCTGAACTGAGCCATTACTCTAATATGTAGCTTGTTTTGTAAGGTTTCATTACTGTTTAGTTTTTATTTTTGTTAGTAAATGTACATAATGATTTTAAATATTCATATACTAGAAAAAATTTTAGGATTTTTAAAAAATAAGTTTGTTGAGATCTAATTCATATAGCATATCTTTTATTCATTTAAAGTATATAATTCAATACCAGACTGAAAAAAAACTTCCCATGTGGTTAATATTTCCTATTTTTTCATTCTTATGCCATACTTATAAAAGTTCCTCAAGAAGAAGACTTTTTCATAGTGATTTGAGGATGGGGAATAACAATCACAATAATAATAATAATTATTATTATTTTGGTACCAGAGATCAAACTCATGACCTCATGCTTGCCAGGCAGGCACTTATGCTGTTGAGCTAAATCCCTGGCCCCGGGAATAATTATTTTGATAGTAAAAAAATATAGGTGAATCCTTTTTCATTCACTAGATAGGTCCACTTGTTCTTTTTCTTTTAGTTTTTCTTTCATTGCCATCTTCAAGCTAACGATTTTCAAAAAGATGACCAGTTTGATAGTTGCAGTAGGGCATTTTGAAGACAGAAATGCAAGTTTTAATGCAGAAAATATCTCAACAGGAATTTGTGCGGCTGACTGTTTCTGATGTTCTGACAACGTATGTCACAATCCTCATTGGTGACTTTCTCAGGGCGTGTTTTGTAAGGTTTTGCAACTATTGCTGGTGCTGGGATTTGGAATATGGATACGTAAGTATGATGTTAATTTTCTTTTACCAGACTTTTCCTTTCTGATGCATCATTTACACACACTATGCAGGAAAAAGAGTATCTCAGAGTTTGATAGGTGAGATCAACATTTCAGTTGTCAGTAAATAATGAGTAAGATAACTCAGAAGAGCTCCGAAATGAGTATCACAGTTTTTAATCTTCCAGTAAAATTAACACAGTGGCCAATGCAGTACCCTTCAGCTATAATGTTGAACTGAATCCTCAGTTAAAATGTTGAACTCAGGAATTTTTGGCCTCATAATCAGCCCTTTTTTCATGAAACTGCTGATGCTTCTAGGAGCAGGGTGAGATGTCTACCAACTGAATACTTCGTTAAGTCCCTGGAAGTCTACTGCATTGCTGGGTTAATTATCATATCCAGTTACCATGCAGTAGACTGGGGATAAAAGGATTCACTTAATATGGTGCTTTCTTCATAAACCCCATAACAGTTGGAAGCTGACGGAGACCCCAACAGCAGGCACGTGGGTTTTTCGGGAAGACCTGATTTACAGTCAGGGCTTTGGTCTGTGGAGCTGCACTCTAGGGGGTGACCTCATTTCCTGAAACAGTGGCCCAGATTTCTCTGGATCTCACTGGTGCTGACTCCATCACCAGCGTTTCCTCGGCACTCAGCCCCTGTTCCCCTAAAGATGAAGAGCAGCACAACACCCATTGTGTTACACAATAGCCAGGATTTTATTTCCCAGTTTTTGAAAATAAAACTGGCTCCTTGTATCCTGGAAAATACACCCTGGGGGATTGATAGTACTCAAGTGGTTCAAATCCTCATGTGGCCTCCTGAGCCACAAGAATGAAATCCAAGGGCCTTCCTAGGGACTTCAGCTTCCTGTGCGAGCTGTCCTTCTGAACTCACCTGTTACCACTGTTACTCTTGTTGTGTAAAGTCTACAAATACAGCTTTTCCCCCCACTCAAACAACAAGCTAGTCCCTGCCTTTGCCCTGGCTGTTTCTTTATGAAGGGGTGCTGTTACTCTCGTCTTTGGCACAGCTGATTATTTCTCATCATGAAGGACTTAGTTAAAAATCACCCCGCAGAACTTTTCTCTAATCATCCAGTGTGATGTAACCTATTAGGCACTCTACACATCAACATGATGCTTTATTTTACCTTGACATGGCCTTTAAAAATGTGCTTATTATCCGCTTTTTTCTTTTAGAATGAAAGCTGCATGAAAACAGAAGCCCTGAACCTCTACTATTTGCATGCTAGTAACATGGCAGGTGTTACATACTGATCATCAACCCTCCACATTATGGAGGCAGCCCTGGCTATGGACAGCACTCTACCCATTTCTGAGGACATGCTCAAAGAGTCGAGTCTGGTTTAGTGCCCTAGAGCTGGTGATGTTTCTGTCTCACCAGTGAAGGAATATTCTACACAGCTGATCTAACTTCTGTCTCATGCTCTGTAGTCCCTGGCTGAGTCCTGTAGTCAAGATGACTTACAGGGCTTCTGGGCCTCTGGATACCTAACTTTGAGATAGTGCCTTTTATTAGGTCATCCCTGTCACCCTCAATGAAAGTGTCTTATTCTCAGAGGAGCCAAGAGTACTTAGGTAATGCTCTTGGGTGTGGGCCAGTGAGGTCATAGTATAGATCTAAGATGCTGTGTTGTGTTCCTTTCTCATTTGTTGCTATGAGGTATTCAGCTGGCTTGGTTTCATTTCTGTTTTATCTTGCTTGATTCAGCTTTTCTGAGACAGACATAAAAATTGCCAAATTTTCCTTAGACTATTGCTTGACTTTTGTTTGGCCTTTCTCCTTGGCTGCTCTGTTCTTAAGTGGTAGAAAATTTTATTGCAAGTACAAAGTCAATATAACATGTCCTGGGCGCAAAAAAGCTGTAACTAAATGACTATAATTCATTATTTATCGAGTGCTGACAGAGCTCTTGGCTTAGTACAAAGTACAGGAAACAAGTTTCTACTGTAGATGTAGAGAAAAGTAATGTTTCCTCATGTTGCCTTTGAGGGTCTTTGGAGGAAAGCTCCAGCGATGTAAGTTAAACCTCTGCCTCATCTTTTGGGGCTCTGTGCTTTAATCCTAGTTGAGTGTGGGATCCTGTTAGTGACCAGTGAATTTCATCTGCATTTTGAATGGGACTTCAGAGCCCTTTCTGCTCCTGTTCCCAGGTCCTCTCTCCCCTCCATGGGATGCTCATGATTGCTTAGTGATGTTCTATCAGGTTATCTTCTCAGCTGTTACTTAATCTCTCCACATTTGCAACTAGGGAGCAACATCTGAGCAAGGTGAATAACCCAAGGACCAGATAAAATACAATGTTTCTGCTTTAGTAGCGCTGGGATAGGGCCTAAGAAGTCATTTTCCTTACAAGGTCCCTGGTGCTGCTGCTGACCCTGGTCGAGAACACATTTGAGGTCCACTGCTCAGGAGCCATAGTGCAGGATGGCCTGGAGCTACAAGTAGGATCATTCCAGCTATGAGAATTGGGGTGCATGTAAAAAGGTGACGTAGATCATTGCAAAGAGAATTAATTCTCTCTGACACCCTGAATGACATTTTACAATATACATAGGTTGTCAGTCTGCTCAAACTAACTGAGCTCGCAGGGAGAAAGTGGGTCTTCCCAGGCTTTTTGGTCCTGTGAGTACCATATGTCTTCCTGCTGGGTAAGTGACTGACTCCTGTGTGCTGCAAGCAAAGGTCTAAAAATAACACAAGATCATTTCTAATCCTGTGACTGTTATGGTCCTCTGCCTGAGTCCCAGTGGTTCTGCTGCTGACTTCTAACAATGTTACTAGAGTAAGGGGCCATTAGTAAGTTTATTATCCTCCTGTCACTGAACATTTCCGCATCCCTGTCTTTAAGAATGGATAATGCTTTGTTCACCCCAACTATCATTTAATTATGATTTTTTTCTACTTTAGAGACAATTGAACTAATATAGGTAAATTAATTTATATCTACTTAGGTATTATTTTAATATTTTAAAATACAATTTCATGTTTTAGAAAATGTATATCTCTAGAGGAAAGAGCATGGCATGTTGCATATACCTACATAAGTTTTTTGCCTTCTTATGTATATTTTGTTATAGAATAAGGTTTTCTGTGTTTACTGCATAAAGTATTAAATTCCAGTTCTAATGTTTTTACGGAGAAGGAATTCTTTAATAAGAATTATTAATTTTAAGTCAGTAATAGATTAGATTAGAAAGGATCTTAAAAATTATCTAGTTCAAGAGTTGATGAAACTTTTTTGTAAAGGGCTAGATAATATTTTCGCTTTTGCAAGTCATGTGATCTGTGTCGCAACCAATAAACTGTTGTCTTAACCCAGAATGGTCATAGAAAATATAGTGGGACTCTAATAAACATGTATTTCCATAAATAGGTGCCTGTCTGGGTAGGCTCATGGGCCAAAGTAAGCTGATCCCTGATTAGTTCATTTCACTCATTTCCTCACCTAGCTGGAAAATGGTGTGGGAAAGTTTAGTACTTGTGAGTTAATTGTTCTGCAAGGACCCTTGGCACAAAGGCCTGTGCTATATTTTTTGGCATCTGATCAGTTTAGACATCAGGAGTCACTTCCTCCAGCTACTCCTGCTGCAAACACAGTGTCCTTTGTACCTTTTCTTAATCAACTAGTTATGAAATACATCATGTCAAATGACCTTCAGCAGATCTTGTGAATGAATAAAGAAAAACAATATTCCAAAGACTTGAGTTTTCCCTGAGTTCTGTGGTTTGCTGGGTTATCGCGTGACACCATTCTTAAGAGACCAAAATTGAAGATTTGATTCTTGAATGGACACAGAGAAAAGCTGCTACAAAGCCACAAATCACCCAAGACTTTTGCAGATGTGTTTTGTGATCACACAGAGCTCCAGGACAGAAGTTAAAATGATTGATTTTAGGACAAAAACTGTCATCCAAATCTTTTTGCATCCTGTCATCCAAATTTTTTTGCATCCTGCGAACATTAGTGCTTCTAGAAAATCTGCAAATTTTATTGAGCATTTTGTATATAACCTTTTTTTTTTTTTTTTGGTACTGGGGATTGAACTCATGACCTCACACTTGCCAAGCAGACACTTATGCCACTGAGCTAAATCCCTGGTCCCCTATATATAACGTTTTGACAGTGTCTTGAAAGAATTTATGTTAAAATTATCTGGATCATTTTGGTTCTATTTAATTTACATGGCTATTTCCTATTTCATTATATATCATCATTTAACCTTGAGATTCATATTAGTCTTGTCATGCTCAACTTGCTATTTACTCTCTGGATCAAAGGAATATGACCTATGTCTTTCAGCAGAATAGGAAAGCTACTGTTCCCTTTGCAGGAAATGATGGAGCTGAGGCTGGAATTTATGAGACTTTTGAGGCAAAACAATTGAAAGTTGGGGACAGTTCTGTTGGAATCCAAATCAGAGACTTATTCTATCTTCTTACAAATACATTTTTCAATTTGGGGGCTGGGTAAATCAGAGACTCTCTTTTAGGCCATCTTATTCTTGTGTGTGTGTGTGCATGTATGGTTGCGTAGGTGTGCACGTGTGTGTGGCGGGGAGGGAACTATTACGGGAGAACATGAGCTGAAGCCAACCAGGGAACTTCTAGGGAGCTGCCTCTTTGATTTCTCTTTGGGTGTCTTCCTGGCCTTTCTGCTTCGTACTCACTGCTCTTTTACTTACTTACTATCTGTTCTCAGTTTTCTATCTCAAATTAAATGAGACAGTTTTATTGCTTTTTCTAATTAGCAGCAACTCTTTTGATAGACAGTTTCCTGCCCAGATGTGTATGTGTCATTAGGAAGCTTTTGAATGGGCCAGGCCCACCCAGATGCCCACTTTGTTCCTGTGGGAGCCCTGCTACCTGAGGGACAGGGTGGTGTCAGCTTGCCAAGCATGACAGTGTTATTTAGGATGTGGAGACTGGGCATTGAGTATAATGAATCCTTAAATTTTTGTTATTCTTCTATTTTTATATTAAATTATAAAATTAGCCATATTTTTCATTGAAATAAGTTGCTAAATATACGAAGCTTACAGAAGAAAACAGAGTCCAGCACTTCCATTTGCTTTACTTCTCAGTCTTTATTTATACTTTCATCTAGTGCTGATTACAAATAATGAGTGTATCATGTGATATTGTTTTGTTCGACACTAGAGCATAATTTTCACTTCCGAATATGATGACTCCAAAACGATTGTAATTAGATGAGATAACATATCACTGTACAGGCATGCTATGTTTGTTTAGCCAATATTGGATACTTACAAGGTTACATTATGTCCTGCTAAAATTTATCAGCATTTTCAAATTATTTTGTTAAGACAGAAGTAGATCTACAGGGTCAAAGAGAATAGGGTTTTTAAAAACTTTTATTCTGTTTTATCGAACTGTTTTTCAGAAAAGGTGCTACAGATTTTACTTTTCCCAGCAGGGTAAAAATGTGTGTTTTGCCATACTTTCACAGCCTTTTAACATGAGTCGCACTGTGGTAAAGGTTACTTTCTTATTATCTCGTGTATTCTGACTGATTACTCTGTGTGGCTGTTGCAGGAAGGTAATTGGGAGCTGAGTGGTGCCTGCAGGTAACCACTTTCTCTGTGATTCCCACCACCGGAGATGCTAATCCCATGAACACTTGTGTCTCTTCCAGCCTTCATACACTGAATTTGACATTAGCGGCAACGTCCTCGCGCTGATCTTCAACCAAGGCATGATCTGGTAGGCCAGCTGTTGGACAGTTTGTCACTTACAGAAATGTGACAAGGTTCTTGCTGCAGAAGGCACTGCAGCTTGGTTCCAGAGGAGGTAGCAGTGTGTGGCTTCTAACCCACTGTTTGCCTGTGCAGTGATTAGTTTCTGATCTTAAAATCTTTGATCCCAAAAGCATCTCAGAGAGCTCCTTCATGGAATCATGAGAGTCTTTGTTCTATTTGCTAGATTTATTCGAAGACTATCTTTTTATAACCTTGTGACATTAGGAACTGATAAAGAATGATAATTCCACCTGTGAAATATGCAATTAATTTACATAAACCTTTTTTTGAGAAACTGGTTTTATTTTCCTGTCATTGTTAAATATATTTAAATATACATCTGGTAGCTATTTTTGAAAATATTATCTAACCAAATTCAGTTGGTTTGTGGAGATGAAATACATGTGCTGCGAAGGTAAAGTTAAAATATTATCTTTATTCTGCAACTTGTTCAATAGGGCCATTTGCACAGGAGCACTGCTGTTTTAAATTTAATTTTAGGTTTTGATGTGCAAAGGATTGTCATATCTTTTATTAAACAGAAGCATTTTCACTGTAAACCCTGACAGGTTATGATAAGACGAGACAGTAGGAACTGTTTTTGGGTTTGAAAATTGAATCACAGCATGCGATTCATCTGCGGACCATGTGTCTTGGAAATCTGTCACTGTTAGCTAATAACACCTCACCACACAAGCAGTTACACTGGAGTAACTTTTACCCTGTGGGCATATGCCTAGAACAACACTGTGCCACTGGTCAGCCCATTGTCCTTCCCACATGTGCCAGGATAGCTGCAGCTTTTTAATGAAGTTTGTGTATTCCTCAAATGCTTCTCCATAGCTGGTCTGAGCTATTAATCCCTTGTGTGCTGATGCTGACAGAGACTGAACCTCTTTGCAGTGATTAAAACCATCTTGCTTTGCTGACATAGAGACCACCCCAAGGGTTCCACTGTCCTGCCAGAGTGCCTGTCAAATTCCCATGTCTTCTTATATGAATCAATGTAACAGTCTGTGAAAAAAGATTGATTTCCTGTTGTCAGATGTTTAACAATGCATTCCTGTTCCCATCACTTTCTAAACGTTGCAAATATGGCTCAGTTGAGCAGAGTTGGGAAGAAGTGGGAAGCATCCTTTATTCTCCAAGCCAGATGGAAGGTTAGGGAGATCTGAGGAGCAGCTCCTCTGGGTTCTGATCATGTACTTCCTGAAGGGAGATCTGTCATCCAGGCTGCAAATAGCAACACTACCAGTGGGGTAATGAGAAACCTCTGTATTGTGTCAGTGACTTTCCCACAATCCCTCAGGCCTGGTGTGCACCACCAGACATGTATTGTGTGTCTATTGTGCTTTTTTAGAGTTAAGACAATAGATTGGCCTAGAAATTGGTTTTTATTGTCAGAAAAGTTGTTATAATTACTGTCCGCCTTGGTTTGGCTTACAATTTTGCAACTGTTTGGTCCACCATTATTCACACTGAAACTCTGAAAAATCTAAAAATATTTCTAGCCTTCATGGGCAGACCTTTAATCAAAATTTCTGCTTTTTATTGTACTGTCACTTACTTGTGATTAGTTGGACAACGACTTCAGAAAGTGAGTGTGTTTGTGAATATACAAAGGTATTTGCATACATTCCAGGGTTCCAGAAAAAAAGAACTGTTATGTTCTTCACCGTCTGTTAATACTTTGCCCAGATAAAGCTTCCTTACCCCTTCGGAGGGTGCAGAGGGAATGGGATTATGGTGTGGTAGGAGATTGTAGGAGGGTACAGAGTTAGAGTAGCAGGGTCACGCTACACAAAGGGCCTCACACCTAGTAATGACTTTATTTCAGGAGGCATGAGCCTCTGACACCCGAAGTTAACTATTTTCCACAAAAACAGTGAAAATGTTTTGTATTGAAGTCTATTGTTTTGTGATTTGTAAACATCCAGTCATTGCTTTAGGGGTTGCCGAAGAAAAGTGAAGGTTATTTACACAGATGTTATTAAAGTCAGGAATTACAGCTAAAGTCCATTTTGATATGATTTGAAATATTTTTGCCCCAGTAGGATGCAAAGAGCTCACAGCGAACACACAGCTACGAAAACAGAGATGAACTCTGGACAGTGTTCCCATCTGACCCCTGGGTCCCCTAACCCACTCCTTTCACCTTTCTTCCTCATGCTCTCAGTCAGTCATCTGGGAGTCATTTGTCTGACACGTACCTGTCCCTACAGTGATACAGAGATGCAAATAAAAGGCTTTCATTTGTTTTTACCTTTGTCGAAGAAAAGCATTACATAAGACTAAAATATTAGTTGGTTTTTAACAGACAGATGATGGGATCAGGACTGGTGAAGGGTCTTTAGTGAGCTGAGCTGATTTGCTAATCAGCAAATGATGTGATGAGTACTCAGACTCAGACATCATTGCACCAGGACCTGTTTTTCTAGGTGTGGCTCCTGAATCATTTCTTCATAAAGTCCACGTGACCTTCCTGTTGAAATTTGTTCATCTATAAATCTGCAGGCATATATTGTGTGTGCATACATCTACACATGGAAAAATGTGTCTACATGTATAGAAAGTCTAGGTTTTGAATTACATGCACAATTTTGTCTTAGACTCAATTAGATTCTATAATAATGAAACATGATCCCAAAGACTTAGCATTTTACAGAAAGAACATATCCAGTGTAGGTTTGGGGATAGCTCTGATCCTCATACTTCACATTCACTTTAGAGACCCAGACTGATGGAATAAGACCCACCTGAAACATTACTGGTCACAGTAGAAGGAGCAAAAAGAAGAAAAGCTCCTCAGTATTTAAAATTTCCATCTAGCAGTGAGACCTGTAATTGCTATTCTTATTTTAGTAGCCAAAACAAGTTACAAGCCCAAGGCTAACTCTTAGAATGAGGTGAGTATAATCATTTGCAAATGTATTACAGCATGGATATTGGTATTTGATACTATAATCCAGGACTTTGAAATTTTTACCTATCAACTGGGATTCTCACTAATTTACTTTTTAAAATTTTAATTTTGAAAACAATAAAACCAAATGAGAAAAAAAAAAAAAAAACCAAAAAGCAAAATGGGGTTATTCAAAACAAAAGGATGGGCATAGTACATAATTTAAAAATCACAATACAAGGTGATCTACAATGGTTACCATGGTGTCTCTTGTTATCTTCAATAGAATTGCCCATATCATGAGGTATAATACAATTGAATATAGCAGTAGAGCATAAAATCAATAAAAACAAAACACTGGAGATATTATAAGACTTCAAAAGAGGATAATAGTCAAACCACAATGAATATGGTGGTGAATCTTATTGTCTTCAGAGTAGTTACCTATACTCTCACTCAGACTTGACACTATCAAACGTTAAAGATTCGAATAAAATCAGTCAAGACAAGACAGCAATAGAATAAGACAGATTCAAATAAAATCAGTCAAAACAAGGCAGTGAAAGCAATACAGGGCTTCAGATTAAGTTAATAGGAAATTAAAAATGGCTACCATAGTATATCCTGCTATTTTTGGAATAGCTGCCTATGCCCTCAAATATCTAGTACAAGTAGATTAACTGGAATAGAATATAACCAAACTAAACAGAGTAATAAAAGCAATATGGGTTTCAAATCATGACACAAGATTAATAATGTCCTCTGCCTTCCCTTTTTAGACAATTCCTCCCCTTTGACTTTCGCAGGGCGCACTGTACATTTGGATCCCACTAATTCCTTTAGTTTTTAGATTAGGGAGGCAACCCGCTGTTTACCTAAGTGGTTACTTTTTTTTTAAACAAGTTTTGTTAACTTTCAACTTTTGTTGTTTTATAAAAATGGTACACCATGTTGCTTCAACTTTCATTCTCCCACTAAAACAAAACAAAATAAACGAACAAAAATCAGCAATAACAGTAACAAAATCAAAGAAAATGGCCAGAAATTTTTTGCTCAATTCACTATGGCGGATATTCATATTCATTGTCTGGCACCCTATTAATAGATAACCTAAATCGTGGCAAGAGTCCACCTTTCAAAGGGGTGAATTCACTCTGAGTTGGCATAATATCAGTTATAACAAAAATTAATATCATTATCTAGGTCAAAAATGCCTCTACCATACACCGAGGTTATATTGAGTTGATTAAACAACTATAAATTCAGGTACTAGAAATTGTACCTAACCAGAAACCTAACCAGAAATTCTGAGAATTTTATTATAGTTGGTACTATTTTAAAGATAAGACTCCACCTATATTTGTAAAATAAGTACACATGTATCTTCTTTTTGGTTTTGGAGTAATAAATTGCTATTTATATTGCTTTAAGATGCTAATAAAAAGAACCCTGAACTTTATTATGCTGAAATAATTGACAGAGTCATCAAGTAAAAGTAGTCTCATCTAACTGGCTTTAAAAGTGATTTGTTAGGTACTTTTTAAAAGTCAGAGCTGGATGTGGTGGTGCACACCTGTAATCCCAGCACTTGGGAGACTGAGGCAGGAGCATCATTGTGAGTTGGAAGCCAATCTGAGCTACATGAGTTCAAGATGAGCCTGCACTACAAAGTGAGACCCTGTCTCAAAAAAAAAAAAATGTGCAAAGCAGTATATTACCAGCACAAAATAAAATAAGACAGTAAATGCATAAAAAAATATAAATAGTCATGAGGGATTTTCACCTCAAAAACACATAAAACTAGCCATTAATGATAGAGTGTATAACATACTCCTACCCATAAATATCTTTCCAATCATCTCTCCACTAGCTACTACAATGAGACAATGGTTAATATCCAAAAAAGAAAACAAACTTTTAAACTTTTCCTCTTTCATTAAGAAAAATCTGTTTACTCCTTACCAAATGGTTAATCCAAATGTGCTTTTTATTTGAATGGAACAAGCGTTTTAAAAGTCAACCATACAAATGTTAGATATATCAATGAAATAAGTATTGGGGAAATTGTGTTAGAATTAGGAGAAAGGAGTAAGACAATTTTAACAAACTGTTTACTCTTGTAGTTTATATTTATTAGTGATGACGGATGTGGCTAGTTTACCCGTGTTCTGTGAGAGACCCCTGTGCACCTTCCCTGCAGCAAGAAGGGACCTGCAAGCTGCATAGCAGACACAGGCAGAGTAGCTGGGTTTAATCATGACGGGGGTTTCCGCGGTGACCGTGTGGGTACATCTTCTGCCTCTGGCAAGAAGCACCACGCCTGCCCTGTGCCTTCCCTCTGGCCTGGAGACCCAGCACTGAGCACACTCTGTTTTCTTGCCAGGATGGGCTCCTTCTTTGCACCTAGCCTCCCGGGCATCAATATTCTTCGACTCCACACATCCATGTACTTCCAGTGCTGGGCCGTGATGTGCTGCAACGTTCCTGAGGCCAGGGTCTTCAAAGCCTCCAGATCCAATAATTTCTACCTGGGCATGCTGCTGCTCATCCTCTTCCTGTCCACCATGCCTGTCCTCTACATGATAGTGTCCCTGCCACCGTCTTTTGACTGCGGTCCCTTCAGGTCTGTGGTGTTTGTAATTTGACTCTGGGTGAAGGTGAGAAGAGCCACCCACTGTGTAATTCGGTTTCTCTTCAGGGGCATTTTTTTGTGGATAGAAATGAGATCCTTTGGTTTTTTGGGATCATCCTGCTATATGTAGAATCTTAGGCGGGCTTCATCTGTTTCTCACATGGTGATCGTAAATGTGAAATTAATTTATACTGCTCTAGGCTCTGCCTGGCCAAACACGGGCAGTGAAACCGAGCTGTCTCCATGTTAGGGGATAACTAAGCACAAGCTTTGCTCACACCAGTTTGGATGTGAATTTTCCTAATGCTAAAGCAGCGCATCCAGATACAGCCAGCTAGGGCTGGTTCTCAAGGCCTCCATCAGTCTGGGGCCAGGGGGAGGTCACTCACTCCTTACCTAGGAAGCAGAATCAGGATTAATTAATAATGAGTATGAAGGGGGTCAGACAATGTGTTGTGCAAAAATACTACCTGTTGGTAAAAAGACAAACATGTATCTTTTGTGTATTTATCCCAAGTATCACTCGGGCCAGCAATCAGGAGTCAAGAAGACTCTGATGTGAGTTAAAGTCGTGCTTTTCAACAGTTCTCTATGTCAGAGCTCTCTTTTTGACACATATCAAAAAACAAAGTCCTTGGGATCTGGAAGAAAGGATTTCCTTCCCTGAAAGTGTTAAGAATCAATCTCTTATCCCCCTTCCCCAAGAATCTCTGCCTGTTGATTTACTGGCAGATGTGCATTTGAGGGAAGGAAATGAAAATGCAAGAAGCCACGGAAGGACAGGCACGATGCTAGAATGGCCACCTATGATTTCCCCTTCGTGCCTTCAGATCCACGCTGTTAAACAAATGTCAAAATGTTTGTTTAAAAAGAAAATGTTTGTTGTCCACAGGTTAAATGTAAAAGAGCTATTTTCATTCTAGTGATAGCCTTAGCTACTATTTTACTAGCAAAGAAAGGAAATATTGAGCCATAAGATCAAAATTAGCTGTAGCTAGTTCCGACCCAGGAGACGACCAGCCCCCTCTTTCTGCCTGCGTGTGCGTGCGTGTGCGCATGCGCCTGTGCCCCTGTGTGCATTGTCAAGTAGGCTGAAATAAACAATGCGGACAGTGACACCTGGAGACCAAAGACGAAATTACAGCCTTTAATGTACCTCTAATCTTGGACCACTGATTTCAAGATGTGTGCCATTCAGTCTTCAGTTAACTTGCAATTTACCTTTGCGACTTAATAGCCAGGATAAATTTTGAGAATACTTTTGATGTTCTAACTGGAAGCTGATTCTTCTCCGGAAAAGACATAAAAGGACCTTACCAGTCTGAAAGAGAATCCTCTTGCTGTAACCACGGGACTGCATGGTTACACAGGGGCATTGAGGCTAAGTACCTCTCAGGTGGACTTGTGTGGCGATTGCACGATTTGAGCTGTTTGAATTTTCTCTCTTTTGATTTTTCCTAAGTCATATACTGAATTACTCTGATTTTCACTGAAAAAAAAATACTAGTTTGCAACTAAGGCATGGTATCAGACTATCACCAAGAGTTTGCTAATTGGCAAACTTGGGCAAAATGACTACATATGTGTCACTATTGGGATGAAGGAAGTTAAATATTTTCGGAGGAGTCTTGCACAAGGGCTGTGTCTGTACTACCATGACAACTGCTTGGCCGTCCTCTGGCATTCAGAGTTTGAGGTGTTTGCTTCACTGCCTAGTGATTGTTGCCTGACCCTGGCTGTAGGGTGGGCAGCAAACCTGAATTTGATGTAGGTTGGTGAAGACACTGCAGAGGTGACCAGGTAGTTCCAAATGCAAGTGTGTTTTCAAGTGATGCAGTGCCATTTGATGAGATGCTGTAGTATTTTCTGGTTTTGTAAGACCCAGCTAATGAAGATCAAGTTTCTGGAAAATTCTCCCAATGGCCAGTACATGAACTTACTTTAAATAATTGGACAGTTTAAAAACAATTTCACTGATGTCCAGAGGAAGATAATTCTTTTAACAGTTCCATCTTATTTTCTGAAACTTGATACGCCAGACAGTTGTTTTGTATATCATATTTCCCAAAACTTGATGCCTCCCCACATGTACCAATAATTCTGTACAGATTATAGTTCTCAGAAGCCCCAAGGTTACATTGTGGTAATTTTATTTTTAATGCATTTTACATTGAATGAATTTCATTTCATAATGGTATGCATTTATCTTAGATAATCTGGAAATTTTTGAAATATTTTACCATTAAAACAAAGACTGCCCATCACCTCAGAGACAGGAAATAATATGATGTTCAACATTATGGCATTATATATTCTTGTTTTCCTTCAAGTAAATCTTTAAATAAGTGAGATCACGAGCTAAGCACAGATTTATATTTGAGGTTACTCTTTATTGAAAGAGAGTATTAGTTAGATTAGATCTGCAAGAAGAGTAATCTGACAGGATGTTGGTGATTGTGTTCACTCAGTAGTTGAAACTATTTACAGATTAAAAGACAAAAGCGAGACTAAATGTTATTGTTTGCTACATCTTTTAATCTGAGGATACACACAATTTGATGAAACAGAGCGTTTCACTGTAGAATAAGAATGTATATACAGAAAAGCACACTTGAAACAGTGCATATTCCTCTGCACATCTAGATATTCTAAACCAACCTAAAGGATACTACTCTTGTTTTTCTAATTCATCAGAGTTAATTCTCCTAGAAACAAGATGGGCCTCAGCTGATGTTCTTTAGGGCTGTTCAGCAGAGGAAAGACCGAGGGAGAGCTCCCATCCTTCAGTGTGGGTCTTGTTATTTCTGATGAAGGAGGTCTGAGAAAATGAGACAGAAGAGACTGTGTGAAAAGAGGAATTGGATTATTTGTGGGTTTTATTCCATGAGGCCATTTCTTGAGCTGATTTCCAAAGCCAATTAAAAATAGAATGCATAGTGGGGCATGGTGGCACAGGCCTGTCATCCATGCCTTTGGGAGGCTGAGGCAGGAGGACTGCTGTGAGTTTGAGGTCAGGACTAAAGTTTAAGGTCAGGCTGGACTGCAAAGTAAAACCATGTCTTAAAAAAAAAAATTGAATACGTTGGGTACTCAGCCCAAAGAGTGCATACTCCAATGAAAACATCGAGATAAGGGGCAGACTTATGAGGTACTTATAAACTACATTTCAGTCAAAACTTCAGAAATATACTGTTAAAAACGTCTTCTAATGCTGTTGTTATCTTCGTTGGGTGTGTGTGTGTGTGTGTGTGTGTGTGTGTGTGTATGTGTGGTGTGCTGGGATAAAGTTTCTGGTACGGTACTGCATTCACATTATCCACATTGACAGTTTAGGTCAAAGTATCAGGAGACATAGCAAACATCAGAGTCCTAACCTGCAGAAATATCTAGATAGTACTGTGTATGAGTTTTCTTTGCTGTAACCAGAAGTTTCTATTTGTTTTAAATATATTTTCTCTCTCTTTCTCTTTTTTCCCCTCCTAGTGGCAAAAACAGGATGTTTGAAGTCATTGGTGAGACTCTGGAGAATGATTTCCCAAGCTGGATGGCAAAGATTTTGAGACAGCTCTCGAACCCCGGGCTGGTCATTGCTGTCGTTTTGGTGATGGCGTATGTGCTTTTCCTTCTCATAAAAGGAGCCTTGGAATTTGCTTCCTGGCTCCTTTCAAGTGCCAGCCTTTCAGCAGTGCTCTCCCCTCCACCCCCCCCCTCTCTCTCTCCCTCTCCCTCTCTCTCTCTCTCTCTCTCTCTCTCTCTCTCTCTCTCTCTCCTCCCTCTCCCTCTCCCTCTCTCTCCCTCCCTCCCTCCCTCTCTCTCTCTCTCTCTCTCTCTCTCTCTCTCCTTCTCTCTCTCTCTCTCCCTCCCTTCCCTGGTTTGTGCTGTAACCTAACCAAATGCAGCTCTAATAATTACGCTGTGGTGGGAGCTAAAATTCATGAGCCATATTCTGATCCTATTGGATGTAATTCACAGCCATCTGCATCTGTCTTGCCTCTCCAGTATTATAAGATTTGTTTCCAAGTAACCAAAATAATTACCAGTAAACAGCTAAAGCAGAAGAAACATAAATGCCAAATCTAATCAGTACAGTGAGCTTCGCTCCACAGCGTGGCCTCCATCTCCCTTCCATAAAGCAGATGGTTGTGAATATAGAGAAATGAGGAGTCCCTAAGGTCATATTCTGTTGGAGGCCCTGTAGGCTATGTTTTAAGGCTAAATGCTTAGCGTTGTGCCCACTGTGAGGCCTGTGGGTTGGACAGGTCTGGCTGGCCTTGGGTCACACTGTATGCAAGGGAATTGTCTTAGGGCTAGTGTACAATTCACAACTGTAGTTAATATATGTAAGTAACAAAGCTCTCACACGTGGGGCACACCTGCAAGAGATCTTAAGAATTTCCCTGTGCTTGTTTATACAAGGTTGTAGGTAACCACTGTACATCCTAAGAGAATCAGAGCCCTGGAGGGTCTTGGAAAGATACTTTAGTCTCTCCCTTTGAAATCAGTGATTTCTAAAAGAGAGTACTTGGTGGAGTCTTTCATTCCCATATCACTTCCACTGACTTCTGATTTTTAACCACAAAAGATAAACTCACATTCTAAGTAAAAATATATACAACCAAGGAAAGTGGCCTTCCTTTCAAGCCCCAGCGCCCCCAGATAGGAAGTCTGTTAGTTACAAAAGGCAGGCAGTAAGCCACCTGCAGGGACCATCAGGAACAAAGTTGATGCAAAAGGTTGGGTTTGTTTCCATAAAGGTAAGATGAGGAAATCTGAGGAAGGAAGTGGCACTGTAACCAGCTGGGATTCTGAGCTAGATGTTGTCTTTATTGTGGTGGACACTGTCATGACCTCTCCTATAAAGTGGTGAGGGCAGGGGTTGTATTCTTTAATTTTATAAATTAAGAAACAACTTATAGATCTTCCTTAAAGCACAAATGTTGTAACTGGGTAATAGCAGGATTTAAAGCAACCACTTTCCAGTAAGTCCAACACTCACTGTTTTACAGCGTGAGGGAGAGCTAATAACCCACAGGGATGCTCACACCCTGAGGTAGGTTGCTCTTATGTGGTACTGGACTTTGATCATGGGCTGGTGTTGAGAATCTGATAGTAAATCTTTGGCACAGATGCATTAGAACGTAATTTGCTGGACACATCCTGTTTCACCAGATGGCTCTCAAAGTGATTTTCTTCTGGACATTGTTCCTGATGCAGAGGCTTTGGAAAGCATACTGATAACTATCCAGTGGGCTTGGGGAGTCGAAGTCCCCAATGAGATTGTCATAAATAAGACTGCCATAAACACACACACAGATACACAAAAACACCTAGTTTAAAGGTCTGATTTTAATACAGTATCCTGAATCTATAGAGAGATATGTTTCTAAGCAAAAGGGCAACTTCTCTTGGCTTCTGCTCCCTTAGGAGCTACACCGTGTCCAGAATGTGGGGAAAGAATGAATGGAGCCATTGTTGCAGATGCTAATCACACACGGACACAAGTACTCCCATGGTAACCTTGAGAAATTGGTTCCGTTAATCCTATTATCAATGCCATGTGGAAGATCTGTCCTGAATGAAGTGGCTAATAGGTGGAGTTTAAGCTGGTGTCTTCCTAGCCCTGATTCTTACTTCATCCATTTGTGTGTACCGTTAAACAGAGTTTGGGATCTGTGGGAATGTCAGAAGGGCAAGGGCCACTTTGAAGGGACGGCCTAAATCCAGGGCATGCTTTTCTCAAAAGACCAGCTCTAGTGGATATTTCAGACCAAGAGGCTTATATTTAGGATTTTACGTAAACACATTATAAACATTTGAAGCTGTAGAAAACCATTGCGAGTTCATTAGCCACACAAAATAATCTGGGAAATGAATTTAACCTGGAGGCCATGGTTTGCTAACCCATGATGTGAGTAACCCAGAGGAGAACTGGCAGCATGTAAGGGTCAAACATATCCAGGAAGATTGATTTTAGTGCTGAGGCTTTGACATAAAACTCAAATTTCAGTTTATTAGTGATTTGATTTTTTTCAGATCCTGAGGTCTCATCTTCTACTTTATGAAGCCCATACATTTGGCTTGGCTTTTTGTTGCCTTTAATTAGTGAATGTTACAAGCATCTGAATTTCTCCAGTGGGTCATATTAGACCTTTGTGGATGGTTTTGTGGTATCTGAGTGGAATTCAGGTTAGTTCTCTGCAGGCAGCGTTATTCCTTCAGAGATGAGGAGGCGATTCGTGAAGGTGCCTCCCAAGACAAGAAGAAAGTGATAGGTAAACAGAGAATTTCAGGGATGAAAATGATTCTCTGAGATCTTTGTGTGCACTCCTCAAAATCCAGGAACTTTTCTAAGAAAGTTCTTATAATACATGCACACAATTGTACACATACACACACACATACACCCATTTATTGAACACCTATTTCATACCCAAAATTGTTCCCCTGTGTGTAATTTCAGTCAGACTCTGTGTAATCATATGAGAGATAAACAGACACAGCTAAACTATAGCAGTAACTGTGCTACTCACACCAGATGCCTCATAAAGGGTATGATCTGTTGTGTTGGTGAGCAGAAGAAATGTGTTCAATATCTGATTATTGGCAACAAAGAACAGTGCCAGTCACTTTTTTTTTTCTGAAAATTTTCTTCTTGTTGCTTTTTGTTTTTGTTTTTGATTACATTTTTTCCCTTTGTTCACTTTGCCTTAACAGAAGAATGACATTAATTTTTGTAGAATTATTAGTTTGGATTTTGTTCTAAGAATATAAATATCACTTAAAATCCACAATTACAACATTATAAAACATTTTTTCCTGGAAGAAGGAAGAAATGCAAACAATAGATGTTATAGGAAAAAACCCCTCTGTGTTAATTAACTATTCCTATGAAGATTGTAAAGGCCAGAAGAGGCAGAAAGTAATTTTTCTCTGTATTTTTCATATTTCCTATGCTTTAGTAGATTTTCCGTTTTGGGGGATGTCATTGCCATTAATTTAAAATGCTGCTTTTAATTATACTGTAGACTGATTTTAACACATTTCCAGGAAGACACTGACTGAGGCACGTGGAACAGCAACTAGAGCTTGAAGCTGTGGATAAGAAGCCTTTGGCCCAACTTTCTGGCTTTATCCTAGTTTCTGTGTAACTCTGAGTGCACCTCTTTACCTCTCTCACCTTCAGCTGTTAGCTGCAAAATAAGAAATTTTGGTGGAAAAATACCTCAGTGTCCGCTCTCAGGTTAACATGCCATGATTTACTTAATGTAAGTGTAAGACGAATCTCGAGAAGCTCAAATTTCCATCCCTTTTCTTATTACTATTTTTTATTTAGTTTGACCATCTATTATCTCAATGCTACTGCCAAGGGCCAGAAGGCAGCAAATCTGGATCTCAAGAAGAAGATGAAAATGGTAGGACACAATTTACTCTGAAGAATTACTATCTTGCTCAGTGTCAAGGTGTGGGAAATGCCAGGAAATCTAATTTTCTTTTTCTTTTTCTTTTTTCATTGCATAGCAAGCTTTGGAGAACAAAATGCGCAACAAGAAGATGGCAGCTGCGCGAGCTGGTGAGAGCTGCTGGGTTTCCGCAATCGTTTCCTGACACTGTGCTTTTCTTTTCTTCCTTTCTTCCTTTCTTCCTTTCTTCCTTTCCTCCTTCCTTCCTTTCTTTCTTTCTTTCTTTCTTTCTTTCTTTCTTTCTCTTTTTCTCTTTCTTTTTCTCTTTTTCTCTTTCTTTTTCTCTTTCTCTTTCTTTCTTTCTTTCTCTTTTTCTTTCTCTCTCTCTCTCTCTTTCTTTCTTTCTTTCTTTCTTTCTTTCTTTCTTTCCTCCTCCAAATGAGGCATCAGTTGGCAAGTGGGATGACTGCCTTTAGCAGGTCACTCAAAACCCTTGCCATCCACCTCTTTAATGCTTCTCAGCCATCATTCAAGGGGGTTGTTTTCCACTGGAAGAAAAAAAAGACAAGGAAAAATTCAGGAATGTAAACTTAGCAGTAGGGAATTTTTAATTGACCTTGAAAACAGACAGAAAATGATGGAAGCAATACCAATAATGGCTGCCATCAGGACATATCTGGACTTTTTTTATGCATGAAAGGAAGTGTAGGGATCCCCAAAGGATGCTCCTCTGAGCTCCCCAGCATTGCTTGCCTGGTGCCTTTTCTAATCCATTATCCTGTTTTAAATCTTTTTAATTTTTAACATGCAGTCAGCTCTTCACTTGCAGAGGTTTCCTCACTACAAATTCAGCCAACTCTCTATTGAAAATATTTGAAAAACAATATCGTGATTGAGTTAAACATGAGCAGAATCATTTTTCCTATCATTATTCCCTAAACAATGTAACTATTCACATAACTTCCACATAAGCTATTGTAAGTCATCCACAGATAACGGAAAGCACCTGGGCGGGTGTGGGTCGGTTGTAGGTAAATGCTACATCACTTTGCAAGAGAGATGAGAGTATTCTCAGATTTGTGTAACCAAGGGAAGTGAGGAACAGGAAAGCCTGGAACCAGTCCTGTACAGATCCTGAGAGATGACTCCCTTTGAATAAGACAAAATGAATCATGTGCCTTGAGCCCCTCATGGAAGATGATACCTAAAATCTTTACTGAAGGTGTTTTCCAACTTTTCCCTTCTTAACTTTAATAGTTTTTAGCTCAGCAGATATTTTCTCCTACATAATTTTAAAAATTCAATTCATGTTTGTTTAAAACAGACAAATGTATTAGTGTGCAGAAATGAACAGAGTAGTGGTGTGAATGGCTCCAGACCCCTATTACCCCTAAATTTAGCATGTGATTGTAGCCAAGTCCATTTCTTGGTAGGTCTCCCAAGACTAATCTTTTTCATGTTGCGGGACCTTCATGGCAGCAGGAATAGAGACAGCCACTTGTAAGGTCACGACCTCAGATCACAATTCCCAAAGGAAATCTCAATGAGATTTTGAGTAACCCCTTGGAAAGGCAATAGAACATTTTTCCTGGAAATTCTCCTGTGTCTTTTTCTTGAATTGACCCCATATGGGTTATGAATCCATCTCCTCACCACTCACTGTGTCTGAATGAGAGCTTGGGGATTTGCTGAAGACACTCAGGTGGCCCCTGCAACAGGGCTTGGTCAGAGTCTCTCAAGCTCATGGACTGCACTGGGAAGGGAGGAAAGGGGCTCGGTGACCCTAAGCAGCATATGTTCAAGCTTTGTTGCCTTCTTAATGCTTAACTTTTAAAAACATTTTCTACCCAGATTGAAGAAGTATAAGGTTAATTGCTAGGTGCTGAATTGGATGATTGCATGATTTACAGTTATTAAAGTAGTCTTTTTTAAAAAATCATTTTTATCAATGTTCTATGTGCACATAGTTTAGTTATATAATTCTATGAAGTTTAGTTTGAAAAATAGCATCTCTTTTTTTCTCTCCTTCCACCTATTCATACCCATTTATACAAAGAAAAATGCTTTCAAACTGTTTTGGTAGATTATTTAGATATTTATTTTCAAATTGTACTTTTTTATTGCAGTTTCTTAAATTCTTATTTTTATTATCAATTATTAACTATGCTAGAAATAAGAATGTGGTTCTTTTTCAAACCCAGTCTCTTTGTACATTGTGGCATGCAGTTATATCATTATTTTGGTTAGGACTATGGATTTTATTATGGACATTTTCATGGCTGAGCTAGGTAGTAAATTTTGAATCTCTAAATCTCTGCAGTGTATTGATTATATAAGCTTTTAACATGTCTCTACATAGTGGTTTTCTCATTCATTTCATTTTCCTGGAGAATGTTCTCAGGATCTTCTGACCTTTTTCATTCTCCACTGGCTCCCCGTTACATTTGATGTGTCACTGTGATTCCCATGATTTTCTTTATTTTCTGCTCAACACGGCCTCTGTCCCTCTATTCTGTCTTCAATATCTTAACTTGCATTTTCTCCACCTTCTTTCTTGGTTTGTCCAAATGTTTGTCCAACAAGAAACAGCAGGTCTAGAGAATGTCCAATTAATAAAAATAATATTTTTTCAGATATTTTCTATTGCATTCTAGGTTTCAAAATTGCAATCAGAAATTATAAGCCTATTTTGATTCTCAGTCTTCTTGAGTGGCTCGTATTTTTTAATTAACTAGGTTTATTAGTACATTTTAGGTGCCCACAATGATCACAGTCATCATAACGAATTTGTACCTGTACTTGATGTATCTTGATTCTTGTTTTCCCCTTTCCCTACCTTCCCTTCAACCCCTCCCCCTCCTTTATTTACCAAAGATTTCTTTCCATTTTTTTCTTTGTTTTTGCTTTTTTTGTTTCCCTTCTTTCCTTGCCTCCTTTTTCCTTCCCCTTGTCATTCCCCTTCTCATTTGAAACTTTTCTTCCTATTTCGCAGTATCTATAATATATTTTGTCCTTATTTACTTTTGATTTCTCACATCAGAGAAACAATGCAATATTTATACATGTGTGTTCAGTTTATTTCACTTAAGAGAACAGTTTCAAGGTGCATCCAGTTACCTAGAAATGTCTCAAGTTTATTCTTCTTTATGCCCGAGTAGTACGCCACTGTATAAAACCCCACACCTTTATCCATTCATTGATTGATGGATATTTATGCTGTTTCCAAGATTTAGTATTACAGACTGTGCTGCTATACATACACATGGGTGTGCATAGAATGCGATGGTATGATGCTTTCAGTTCTTTCGAGAAGATACCAAGAAAGGAATAGCTGGGTCAAATGGATCTCTAATTTTAATTTTTTGAGGAATCTTCACACTGATTTCCACAATGGTTGCACCAGTCCACACTCCCACCAACAGTGGAGAGGGTTTCTTTTTTGCCAAAGCTCTTGTCGCATTTTTAATACGTTAATTTCTTTATAACCGCTGTTCTTTCTGGAGTGAGATGGAACCTCAGCATTGTATTAATTTATGTCTCTCAAATGACCAATGATATCAAATATTTTTATATATTTATTTGCTATTTGTACTACTTCATCTGAGAAATATCTGTTCATTTCAGATGCCATTTTTGGGTTGGGCCTTTAAATCTGGGAGTCTGATTTATTTTTGAGTTCTTTATGTAGTCTAGATATTAGTCTTCTGTCTGAGGACCAGTTGGTAAGGTTTCATTTTATTCCCCACACTGTAAGTTGTCTCTTCACTCAGTTGGTGATTTCTCTTGCTGTGCAAAACCTTTTTTAATCAGATGAGATCCCACTTGGTGATTCTTTGTGATAGTTTCTGTACAATCAGAATTTTTGTTCATAAAGTTTTGAGTGGCTTCTCTATCAGCCATTGCTTTATCTATGTAGAAAGTTGTAGGATCTACTTTTTATCTTCAGTGTATGAATTTCATAAAATATATCTTCTGTGGATTTATTTTTTATTCCTTGTGTGCTTATCAGTAGGCCTTTTCATTCTGGATATTTATGGTTTTTAGTTGAATTGAATTTTCTAGAACTGTTATCAAATTAGTGCTGAAAAAGATGAGTAGAAAATTCTGCCTGTGAGGTCTGAATTGCAGTTAAAGTTTATCACTATATTTATTGTTTTACATCATGGTGTAATGCTTCAGCATGTTATTTATCAACATGTTATTTATTTGCAGAATTGCTCAGCGAATACCTCCTTAGTATCTTTGTAGCCTAAAAACTCTTACCCTAAAAATTTGAAGAGAATAAATTTCTATATTCATTGCTTAAGTAACAACCAATAAGCAGAATGTGCACTCTTCTGGTCTTTAGAAGTTGTGAGGACTTTATAAAATATTTGCATATATAAATGCTAAGCATTATAGCAATGGGGAGCACATTTGGGAAATACAGTGTCCGGCCACTTTACTCAAAACCACTAAGGACTTTCAAACTAAATTTTTGTTGAACTTATTTCTCTTTTTCTTTCTTTTCTGGAAAACAGCGGCAGCTGGTGGCCAGTAACTTTCACAGATATGCCAGAGGCCTGGGAGTACTCCTTCCCTTCGTGGTTTAAAGTGATTCCTATGTGAAGCCCCAGAGGTCAAGCTTTGGGGACAGGCTGCTCTCAGTCATCAAGGTCGTGCTTGTCAGCGAGGCCTCCTCAGTTCTCGTCAGGAAGAAACATCTCCATCGTACTCCAGAGTAAAGACTTGTTCTTGCTCTGCCACTTCTTCCCTTCCTGTTTCCCTGATATTTTCCTAACACACTGAATTTGAAAATGATTGTGATCCACTAATGTAAGATACTGGATATAATTGGTGAGTTAATTAAATAAAACTTACTTATATAGACTTTCTCACTGTATGTTTTATTTTACTTTTCTTGGATTGGGAGGAGGAGTATACTAAACCTTTCCCTCTGAGTTGTTAAATATTTACATGGAACATTGCAATCATTCATTAACTCACTTTGTTTATTTTGCTACCTGTGTCTCAACTCAGGGTCCCCCCAACACATTTTTATTTGCCACTGGGTTCATTATGAAAAAGAACAGACTTAAAATGGAAAATCTTATAAAAGTTAGGGGCATTCTGAGTGCTAGGTTAGGGATTTTCAAGGGAGTATATGAATCCTAAACTGCTGGTGTGAAAGAAAGAAGAAAGAAAAGAAAGAAGAAAGAAAGAAAGAAAGAAAGAAAGAAAGAAAGAAAGAAAGAAAGAAAGAAAGAAAGGAAGGACATCCTGACCACTGTTCCATTACAGACTATCGTGTTGACCTTCGTGTTTATATTTATTGAGTTTAGATTCTAGTATTGAAATTTATCTTTGCTTTTTTTTTTCTGGTTATGGTTAGAGAGACGCTCCTCCATCAGGATGTTGAGAAGCGATTTGGCACTGGTATTTACAGTTTGAGTTGGATTTGATTAGTGCTAGGTCTTGTGATGTAACTTCAGTTGCATTCGTAACTCACACTGTCCCTTCCCAGAGCTGACCTAACTTGCCTGTCATTCTTGGCAATTGACACGCTGATTTTTATGACTTTAATTTCTCCTTTTCACTCCCACTGGCCAAAGGATGAACAAACTCTTCCCCAGCTAAATCTAGACATACTGTCTCTGGTGGCCTTGTCTGAATTAGTGTCTGTTCCTGGTCACATCTGTTCTTTCCCTGGACTTTTATGCCTTTAAATGAAAGTGTATTATTTTTTATTGATTTTCATGTAGCTTGTAAAGCTTTTTATTGTTTTTTCCATGCATGCATCTTCTTTCCTGTCCAAACTGTGAGCTCCCTATGAGCAATGATCATTTCATCTAATTCTTTTATATGCCTAGTATAGTGCTGTGCACAGGTAGACGATGAATAAACACTTGTTAATTAAATGAATCAGTTTAAGTTACAGCAATCATACTATGAAGCAAAAGCTTGTGTTATCCAAATGATAAAAATGTTACAATGAGTAAGAAAGGAATTGTCTGCTGCTATGGCTTTTATTATGTCATTAGATAGAGGAGTAAATAAAGCTAGTATTTGTTTATTTCAAACTGAATCATTTCTATAGTGTGTGATAATAGGATTAGGGGATTAATTTGTGGTACAGTCAAATTTACAGTGAGGAAGAAGTGTCTTGCGCTTGATCTGCTTTGTATGGGTAATGGGAGGAGTCATCCAAAGGTAATCGTTTCCCAAAAACATGTGCTATTAGAATGAATGTTAATGTTATAAATATTCAGACACAATAGGTCAAACTTTATTTTTCTATAAGTTGAAAAATATTTGGATTTTTATAGCATCTAATTATCCTCATGATTGAAGTCAAACATTTGTAAAACTGTTAATATTTTCAGTCTCTGGAGGCTTTAAAAATATTTCCACCTGATTACCTCGACGAGGAGCTAAGATAGCATTATATTATATATCCGAAGTTCTCTTATGACCATTGAGAGAATAGCCTTACACTGGGGTGATCAGATTCTCAAGGCTTATTTCCATATTGTTCTTTATATCTCTAATGATTAAAACCATAGAGAAAACTCAAGGCCAAAAAAATCTAGTTTGTACCTTTTATTCTTTTTAAGTGGAATCAAAAAGCTCTGACAAGTATATGTGAAAAATCTTTCCCATTCATTTGGAGGATTATTTTTTTTTTTTTTTGATACTGGGGATTGAATTCATGACCTTGCACTTGTCAGGCAGGCATTTATACCACTGAGCTAAATCACTGGCCCCCATTTGGATAATTTTAAAAAGCTGTGTTTAAACACATTTTCCCAACTAGTTCCTTTAGCTGCTGAGAAGAAGATATAATTTAGCCAGATTTATAAAAATACAACCTTAACCTGAACTACTGTATTCTTTTTTATATGATAAATCTCTTCAAGTTCAAAGGCTAGAAATACATACCCAAGAGTAAATAAGCAGGAATTCAAAACTGAACGATATTGGAAGAGGACTGGCAAATATTCTTAGCTTTCAATACACATGGGCCCTTGAACTTTTTGAAAAGACACTGAGCCCTAACCATAACTTAAAATACAAAATCTGAAACTATAGTCTTTGTGTGATTCCCATCTACTTTTTGCAGAAAAGAAATGATGTTATGTGACAATGTCAGAGGTCCTCAAACCATACATGGGTTCACTGTCTCAAAATTCTGTTGGAATGGGTTAACTTGACCATTGGGTTTTGGGTAGTCTGGATGTCTTTTCTGGGGTTGGTCTTGATGAATTGAATCAGTAGATATGAAAGATGGAAAAGTGTGCCCATGACACACCAGTGTGTATACAAATCTTCCTGACTTTTAAAGAGTTTATTGTAGTCATTCATGTTCATTACAACAAATTTGGGAAGTTTCAATAGATTAAAAACATAAGAGAAACCTCACAACTATACCACTGTAGTTTCTATTTACATTTTGGTGTATCTTTTTTTGCAGAATTGTAATCATGCAAACATAGATTCAATAAAATAGTTTGGAACACAAGACATATCTAGTTTTATATTACTTTTTCAACTAATAGTTTCCAATGTCATAGATATTATTTGAAGACATTTTCAATGTCTATTGTAATTTATAAGTTAAATAAAATATTGTTTAATATCACTATATCTTAATTTGTTTAACCATTTACTGTTGTACATTTAGATCAAGCATTTAATGTTAAACTTCAGTTTGTATCTTTTTGAACACAGTTTTGTGTGAATCCATTAATTCTAAGTATAGACTTTTAAACCAATATATAAGCATTTCTAAAGGCAGTTTTGTATCACTTAATGATACAATTATATTATTTTCTTTTACTTGATCTCCACTTCCTATTTCACAGCACTTATTCTGAGAAGCCACCAAATTTTTCTCTTGATTCTGTTTTATTTGTAATTACACATAAATCTCCATTTAGATACTATCTTAAAGAGCTTTATGCTTAAGGAAAACAATATCTTCTTTTTTTAGAAGGCAAACTTCACATATTGCTTCAAATCAACTATTTTCTGGATTTGATAATTCAAAATGCTATTTGGGAAAATTAGCTTTTTTCTTATTTTATTTGTAAAAACTTTGGTTGTATTATAGTTTTATTCTTCTTATTAGAAGTTAGTCCAGAATCATTTTTACAAAAAAGAAAGCAGAGTTCTGAATTTTTTCTTATATGATTATTTTTTTGTGTTGCTGTGTTCTCCAGTTACTGTTATGATTTAAAAGAAAATCTCTGATGTAAAGTCCTGGCATCTTACTCATCATGGGTAGGATACCAGTCAAATTCATTGTGGGTCACTTACATTGTAGTACATTTAAACTAATATGAATTCAAATGAAGCCATAAAATAATTAATAATAGAGTAAGTCAGTGATTGGTCATGTGAAGTACATTGTACCATATCCCAGTGTATCCAGCTTTGGTTCACATAACGTCTATTATGTTATTTGGTTTGATTTAGGCTCAGAAAATTCTGACTGATTGCACAAGTTTTCAAAAATTTTAAGGGAAAAATATCCTAAAAGCAGATTTAAGTTTATACTCTTTGTAAAACTCTAAAATTGCACTTTTCCATGAATTAGTTGAGAGTGAGTGATCAGGTTCATCAATGACTTCCTAACTACTAAAGCTGTTACCAATTACTGAGAAAATGGCTAGGAGAAGTAGACAGAAATATGAACAGTATAAGACATTATTTTTCTAGCCTATCTTCAGAGTTAGCGCTCCCCTTTATAAGCAAAAATACTCTTCAACAGTCAGCATGTTACACGGAAGACACGATAATGATGATCTGGAAGGAGAATTAAAAGAATATTGCTTAGACAGGAAAACACAGTAAACTAGTTTGTCAGATTATTATTAATTATTTTGGATTACAGAGTTTTAAAGGTAAAGGAAAGCTCTAAATTCATGATCTCTGTTAAGAAAGAATTTAATAATGCTGTTGCTTTAAAATGCAATAAAATCTGTTGCTTTTCTTCAATACTGTAGGCATCACATATCATTCTGTTACTTGTCTGTTACGTCTTTCATTTGGAATTATGCCTTGATTTTTAAGTTATGTATCAGTTAATCAATGAATATTTCCCAATTTGAGAATGTTTGTTCTCACCTAAAGCAGGCAAGGATCAACATATATTATATGACTTTAAAGAAAAATTGTCATGTTTATTATCTCTAGGACTGGAAATAATAATAGCCCTAATTTATAAATTTTCATTTGGGATTAAATACAGTGATGTATGTGAATCTACAATACCTTTTCTGGCACATAGCACTGAAGAGTAGTCGTGGTTGAGCTCTTTGCTTTAATCAAATTCTAGATATTTACAGTTGTGATATAATCATTTTTCTCCTTGACCGTCCATCTGCATGGTGAAGTGATAGGGAGCATCACTGAAATGAGGATCATCCAGAGCTTGATTCCCTTTTTACAGACATGAACATGGCAAATATGATTCTCGCCAACATATATTTTGTTGGGAGCCACAGCAGTGCTAGGTCACCTTGCACGACGGTCATACGGCCTGTAGAAAAGAGCAAAGCCTGAGCTAGATTACCCCTCCCATCGAGTATGCCAAGATGGCGCCCGCTTCCTGCTTCTGGGTTGTTATCGTTGCACTGATCGCCCGCTCTATAAAATAGTCTGCCTAGTAACAAGTGAGGTTAGCCAATCAGCTTGCCTGACCCGCTTCGGCTTGATTGGATGATGTGCCTGCATATAAGCGAGTGCCTCTCCCGCTCGAGAGAGAGAAGCACGAAAGGAGCCGCGGGGAGTGGACCGGTAGAGGCTTCGGCCGGGAAGAATCCCGGGGCAGACTGTACGGAGAGGGAAAATAAAGAAAGCCCAGCCACTGCCAGATCTTGTCGTGTGTTCTTCC